CATTTGTAGATCACCCGTGGGGTCTGCGCAGGGTGGTGCACAAGTATGCGGTTCATCCATATGATCCTGGTCACCCATTTGCAAATCCCTCGTGGGGTCTACGCCATATAACACAGTGTGTTGGGTAACGGCCACTTGCCACATGAATCCTGTAGTGGCCACCAGCAGGCTATCTGTCGATATACGCCAGCCAAGTTTCCGGCCCCACGCAATTCAGAATGATTTTAGTCTGTTCATCTGATAGTATGGGGATTCGAAGTTTGAGTTTGTATTTCAACAGTTCATCGGAAGGGACGTTAATTTTTCCAAAAAACATAAAGAGAAAAACACAATGGGTCCTTCGCCACATCTGTTAAAATTGGAATGATACAGAGAAGATTTGCAGGCATCTGGACAAGGACGACACACACTAGGACTTTTCCACTTTTCTCTGGATGTAGCTGCGGTCAGATACATCTGGGAGTACACCCTAATTTGAGGGAAAAGGGAAAAAAAAAAAAAAAAACAGGCTGGTTGAGCACGTAAGTGGTATTCAGGAGGTTGTGGGTTCGATTCCCCACATCGTCCATCCCCTGCGGCGTCCTGTGACACGCTTCAGGTTCACCACCGGAGATAATTGGCTTGGGCCTCCTGACTGGTTGTGGAAGTAACTTCGGCTTCCCAGCTCGTCCCAGGTGTTAGGAGCCGGGGTACTGCTCCCCGCATAGAGCAGAATGTACAGAGCAGAGGCCAGTGTCAACCCATAACTTTCAGGGCCACCCGGCTTGTGTGCATAGATAGGCTTCAAGGAAAAGGAATTGCAACTGGACTAGGAGTAGATAGGGGGAGGTAGCAATTGTGAGATAGCCACAGTATTGAGAGAGAAGAAAAACAAAAAAACGGGACTGTCAGAAACAGCCGTTGGCACGGTCGCTGCACATGGGTGACACACGCTCTGGGCATACAAGCACTAGGACTCTTCTACTTTTCTCTGGACGCAACTGCCATCAGATATATTTTGGTCAGGCCCCAAACGTCATGAGATACAGGCAAGATAGTCCTTGAGTGAGTACACCGTGAATAGAGAAAGAAAAACAAAAACACAGCAGGATGTCAGAAACACCCGCTTTTGTCAATTGATGAGACTCATAACTCTCTCACACACACACACACTAATGTTGTCAGGGCTGCTGCAGAGCACGGCCCCAAGAACTTTTTTCCTTCGTCGGGCAGCACTTTTATGAGGGGAGGGGTGGGGTGTGCTACCACACTACCACACCCCGCCCCACCCATTTTTTTTTTTACCACTATTTTTGCCATGCCCTGCATGTGCGTGCGGTTTGCGCTGCACGTGAGGCCACAGCGTGCAAGTGATGTGCCGCAAGTATGGTGGATCTTGCTAGTGGCTCTTGCTAGTGGGACTTGGATCTTCAGTGTGATGCATGCATAAAGTTCAAAGCAACAAAGGCCAGCAGCCCGGATCGGGCTCTGTGTGAATCAGACTTTTCAGCATGGATAGTTCAGACTGAAATGAGCATTAGGATTGAGCCTGATTCGTTGCGCGAGAACTCACATAATTCTTGCACACGTGGCATTTAGGTTGAAATAGCCTTTTATGACACTCTGTGTGGTAAGGATCTCCATTCGCAACTGAGAACTGCAAAGATGACAGACAGCAGACAAAACACAGCAAACAACATTACAAACCGGGCCACAGCAGACCTAAGTGCAAGTAGTAGCAATCAGTGTGTAATTAGAGAATACTCACATCAGATCTTTCTGCGGGGAATCTGATCATATTTTGGGCGAGATCCATCAAATGAGAGTGCTTTCAACAGACACAGCAGCATGGATGGACGGATGGAAAACTGTGGATGAAAAGGAAGCACGTATCAGACCAATACAGAGGCATGTGAGTGGCTGGTTGCATAACAATGGCTGACATAGTACCCAAAGAAAATAGATTTATGGTCCACCAAAGGCTGTCATTGATACCTCTGCGTAATTCCTCATGGAGGTCTCGTCACCCTTTCTGCTTCTTCCATTAGATACAAATACTTGCATTTCTACTAATGTGAGGATTTTCTCTTGCCAGTAAACAAGTTTCACAACGCACAGTTTTCTCCCCAACACAACTTCAGCCAACACGTCCCACACTACCACAGGTTCACACACCGGATCTATCTGGACACCAGGCACAGGATGATCCTGACCAGGGGGTGCCCTAAAACATATTTCCATTTTTGTCTTTTCCCCCCCCTCAAAGCAAAACACTGTTCGTACTGCAATCCTGCATTTTCTTTCGCTTTCTGAAAAATCAAAAATTGCCCTTCAGGCAAATCTGGCAGGTTCAGACAATGGACCTGAGAGGAAAGGTAGACGAAGGCAAGCTGACATTCAATCCTCCGATATCGGAGCAATCAATGCTGGTCAGGGGTCCTTTGGCCAGACAGAAGGAAGCGTGAGGGTGCTCATGATGTATTACTTCATTCTAACTTGCTGGTGGTATAGGAACCGGACTGACGCTCCCCAGAATGGATACGGAGCCAGGACCATAAGGACCCGTTACATAAAATTAAAAAATTAAAAATTAAAATAAATTGGAGAAGACACGCTACCATATTTCGAATTTAATCAGAAACCTCCCGACATCCAGATTTCGAACCCTGGATCTTGGGCCATCTGGACTTGCCCAAAACAAATATTTAAAAATTAGCTGACAACATTGAATAGATTTTTAAAACAAATTGCCCTGGGTAGGAGTCAGGTTAAAAACCATGGTTGTTCCGGACCCGGACAACCGGACAACCGGACACGGACACCGGACCCGTGTCTGGATCAAACCGGACATCAAACCGGACATCCAGACATCCGTACCTGGACAGTCCGGTTTGCTGTGTCGGTGTCCGTTGTCCGGAAGGGAAAAAAAAAAAAAAAAAGACACCAAGCACAGAGCTCAAATGCACCAAGATTCCATCCAAATAAGAGCAAAGCAGTGAACTCGTGTGCCAATGTCATCGCCCTCAGGCCCCACCAACTATCCAATGTCGCTCATCTCTGTCTGGCATCATCGCCCGCCCATCCCTGCTCGCCCCTCCCATCCTTTATCGCCCTCCCATTCGTCATCGCCCTCCAATCCCTGCTCGCCCCTCCCATTCTTCATCGCCCTCCCATCCTTCATCGCCCTCCCATCCCTGGTCACCCCTCCCATCGGCCAGACCCTCCTCCCACGTCACAAAAATGCAAACAATATGAGCAGAGAGCGATAGACAGAAAATCAAGTTGCAAAATCACGCAGAAGTCCAGATAGTCATGTACCAAGCAGAGAGCTCAAATGCACCAAGATTCCATCCAAATAAGAGCAAAGCAGTGAACTCGTGTGCCAAGGTTATCACACAGAGGGCCCTTTCAGGGCCTGTCCGGTTGGGGTACCGGTTCTCAAAAAACATCAGCATTATTTTTCCGGGGTACCCCAGCCCAGGTAAACGGCCTGGGAACCCCAATTTTTTTTTTCGAATTTTTTGAAATCGGAGTCCAACCGGACCCTCCGACCCGGACACCGGACCCAGACTCCGGACCCAGACACCGGACCCAGACACCAGACCCAGACACCGGACACAGGACTGTCCGGATCGGGATCCGGACGTCCGGTTCGTAACCATGTTAAAAACCCCAATATTCCCCTTTGGGTTAGAGCAGGTCTAGAGGAGGATGTCTGGAGAGACCGGTATGTTAGGGCTGCCTGCATAAACTGTGGCCAGTACGGTCAAACTCAGGCAGGTGCAACAACAAGAAGGTCACCATGAAGGTGCAGCCCCACATTGGGCAAGTGGCATCTTCCTCCCAGGGAAGCAACACTGCAAGTACTTCCCAGGGAAACACATCCCGCCGGCAGAAGTTGAAGTTGGTAGACTATCCCTCACCTTCTCAGCAGTTGGCCCAGGCTACTGACTCCTTAGTCACCCCGCAGACCCATCCGGCCCACATGATGCTCTGTCCATGGGATGTGCATGTGTCCTTAGAGGAGTTAGAGAGGGAGTGGTCTCAGAAAGACCCGCTAACATCCTAGGTGGCGATGGCATAGGGTCCAAGGAAGAACATTTTGTGGCAGAAGTCAATCTAGATGGCCGTAAGACGGGGGCTTTTGCAGACATTGGCTCTACTAGGAATTTCATCAGTTGTGCTTGTGTAGATAGGTTGCGCTCAGGGGACAAGTGCAGCAGCTAAGTGGAGTTGTAGAATCTACCTTAGCCAACAAGCAGCGTGTTGTAGTAAAGGACTATGTCAAGAACGAGGGGCTGTGACAAACTGTTTCGTCGGAATTTTACCGACTCATCAGGAGGCTGAATACATATATTGTCACATCACTACAAACTAAAAGAGCGCACTTTGCGGAACAAAGAATAAAAGCAAAAAACGGGCACAGTGATAACATGCAAAAATAAAAAGAAAAAGGAAAAACAAGGGCAGATTGAAACCATTAAATTTCTCATTCTTCTTTGAACTCCACCTCCACTGTGCCTCTCACGTGCAAGGCTCGCCATATATCGTCAAATATGTTCATCACCTCTTACGTACATACTACATATATATATTGCCACATAACTATGAACTAAAAGAGCGCACTTTGCGAAACAAAGGATAAAAAACAAAAGGGCACATTGAAACCATTCAATTTGTCATTCTTCTTTTTTAACTCCCCCTACACTGTGCCTCTCACGTACAAGGCTCGCCACGTTGATGAAGGTGAGTGTGAGCTGCCCCCATCCCCGTGTGCCATAACGGCCCACTTGTACGCTGTGAGAAAGAGAGAGTGAAGGGGGAAGGGATAAATACAGGGAAGAGAGTTGGAGAGAAGACAAACGAAGAATGATAAAGGGAAAGTAAGGGAACGTATGGAGTGTGGAGTGAAGATGAAGGCAAAAGAGGATAAGAAAAGGCTCAAGAATGAGTCTGTCCTTGACGACAGAGAGGACATACATTGTAAGGATGAGGTGGATGAACACATGGAAGACCTATGTCGCAAAGCGCCACTTCGCCTCAATCGATAGTATTCATTTCATTTGAGTAAAGAGTTATTTACTATTATTCATTGTGGTTTCAATTAACACAATTGCGATGTCGACTCGTCACATCCTGGAGCTGGAGAAAACGTAACCTTCTCTCCTCTATGGAAACGTAGAGGTAATAAACGAGCTCAAAATGGCTGAGCATTCTCAGTACAACAATTGCCACGACGGCTGGCATTGAGCATGCCCACCATACACCCCCGACAAATGGCATGTCGATTGCAGGCCAAAATGAAGGAAGAGCGGTCAGCACAAAAGACCATGCATTCAGTATAGCGCCCATGGCTGCAAATTGGACAGATACATAGTGTCCGGGTGCGGAGGGTGCCTGCAGTCAGGAACGGAGGGACAGTCCTCTGCACACATGGATGCAGAAACCATGTCATTGTAGTGACTGTGACAGAGACGATGGCGGCTACAGCCGAGCGCAACAATGTTTGTAGCCATGCAAAGGAGAAGGTCGCAGAGTGTTGGTGCATTGTCTTGCTGCAGCACGGGGCCAAAGGAATGATCTTCAACATAAAAGAGGTTGTGGGCGGTTTGTTGTGGCAAGAAAACAGCATCATTATGTAAGAAATCAGTGACATCTGTCATGGCATGGACCACGGTGCCATTGTCCCACAGCTTCCAGTGGTCAGAGGCATGTACAATGGCCATGTAATGGCCAGTTCCGTGCACAATGCAGGCAGAGATGTGAGATGGAGGATTAAACCACTCACCTGCTCGAGCATTGCGTAGTTCAAGTTGACGGTCCCTCATGGTTATTTCCAGGATAGCAATGGTAAAGCCTCCTTCCCTAGTATAATTACAATCCTCTGGCTTTAGTTGGGGAAGATCAGCATCAAGCTGAACGGCGATTGCACGGAAGTCTGACGGTGTATAAAACGGACGATGGAGAATGTGAAGACAGATATTAGTTGCCGTCAGACCACAGAGATTGGTGAGGTTCTCAGGCGTGTGATTTGGATGCTGGCCAACAATTTGCAGATCACCGAGATGGTGTTGCAAGCCCAAACTGTCTTGGGTTGTTTGCTGGTCAGTCATTTGCAGATCACCCATGTGGTCTGCGCATGGCAGGGCAGAAATTTACAGTTCATCCGCACAATGCTCGTCAGCCATTTGCAAATCCCCCATGTGGTCTACGCCTTGTGGGGTCGACTGCAATCCGAGCAGATCATGTTCCAATCCCTCAGCGTTCGGGGCCGCATCCTGAGTAGGGACTATCCCTGGAGTTGGGAGT